CACTTCAAGGATCTTGATTCACATTAATTCACTCGTCATTCTACTAAATGCAAAGACAACTTCCGAAAGACGGTGCTCAAAAGTTTTTAAATGTTTACTTATGTGTATATGTGTCTCTGTGGGTGTGCCACACAGAGTGCAGGTGCCCGCCCGGGCCAGAAGAGGGTGCCAGACTCTCCAGGGCTAAAGTTACAGGTGGCTGTAAGCCATCACTATGGGTGCTGGGAACTGGACTCGGACAGTCTGGAAGAACAGCAACCACTGACCCATCTCTTCATCCTGGAACCGTGTTTTAAAGCTCCAAGTTCATAGAGCGTAACTCCCATGCTGGACTGCTGTGGTGGGCACCTGCTCCGCCGCTGCCCTCTCCTCTGGTGCAGCCTACAGGGTTCCCTGTGCACCTTTAGCTGACAGCAGAACTGAGAGAACAGGACATCTAGCACTTTAAATGGGTCGCATGAATCTGGTCGGACATCGGCCGCTATCTGCAACTATAACCCAGGCCAGCCCGGCCCGTTGCATGTGCGTGTTTGATCTCATGAGAGTCAATTGCATTAAGTAGTCTAAGCTGGTCTTGAACTTACAATCCTCCTGCATCCGCTCCCTGGAAGCATAGGCATGCACCACCATGCTCAGGGAAGGTTCATGTATAATTTTTTTTTTAGAGGAAAAGACTTCCCAGCTACTCCGGAGGCTGAGACAGGAGTGTCTAGGCACATGAGTTCTGGCCCATGCTGGGAAACACAGGGAGACCCTGTCTCTACACAGATGGCTTCCTCTGACAAACCACCACGGACTCGTTCCCCTTTACTAGTTCTTTAACCTTTGCATACTGCAGGACAAGCATGTGGGCTACAGTACAATCCCTCACCAGATCCTGAGGACAGTGTCACGTAAGTGGCTAGGACACGCAGGCTCCAGGACAGTCGCTGAAGATGCGGGCTGACAAAGGAGCATCCTTCTTCCTGGCATCTCAGTTTCACAAAATAGACACTCATACAGTAGGTTTCTTTTCATTAGCTGTCTACCACAGAGTACAAATTAACTAATTTTCGTTCCTAATCAGATAGGGTGATGATTTTAATGATGTTGCCAAATTAATTAAATGCTAATTTAACATTAACTTCAAAGGTTGACAAGGTACATGCTGTTTGCTGTCTTTTCTCTTAGGATCATACTTTCTGCCTTTAACTGTGTTTACATAAATATTGTTGCTAAAGCCATAAGCTTTTTTTAACACATAAATGTTTATTTAAGGAACACAATTTCCTGGATGTAAAGGCCATGGACACAGCCTGTGACTGAACTCCACCCAGAGCCACGCCCTCTGAGCATCCCACTGGGGCAATGGACAGCAATGGCCACACTGTGGCCCAAGCGGGCAGTGTTTCTGGACACTGCCTTTGGTGTTAGTAAAACTCCTTCCACGCTCACTGCTAATCACGGAACTCAAACTTTTCCTCTCCATTTATGGCAGTATTTAAACTTCTTCTAAAAAAGGAAATGAGTTGAATGAAGTTTTAACATCAGTTAGCAATTTTCCTTGTCTAACTAAAGAAAAAGATAATCAGTTATGATATCCAATGCATCAACGATGTGAGAAACACACTCTGTAACATTCAACAATTAGTCATATAATTACTGAAACAGTAGCAAATCAGAACTATAATAATCACAGTGACATAAAAATTAGCACAATATCTATATAGACTGAGTTAGGCTCCAATTACATATTTTTCACTCTTTTGATCTCATTTAAAAAGCTCCATAAAATAATCCTTCCACTAAAGCTAAAAAAAAAATCCTGAGGGGATATACATTTAATCATTAACAAACTATCACAAGAGTAAGCCATGTGCTCAAAAGTTATAAACTTGGAAAAGCAGGTTTAACTTACAACGATAATACTGAATGGAATGATTATTCCACCTAATAACGCATAAGGTATGGTGTCTTCTCTGTAAGGGTACTTGATGGACTCATCATTACAGAACACTCCTCGTTGGAAGGGAGTATGCCTTGAAGTAAGAATTGCAAAAGGCAATCCAGCTAGCAAAAGGGAATAAATAAAAATATCATTAAAAATTATCAAAACTGCTTAACGGCAATAACCACCCCAGAGACTTTAAAAATGCATTTGCTATGAAGTCAGTAAGAGCACATGTAAGGAGGAAAGGCAGAATGCATGCAGCGTAAGTTAGAAGGATTGAGATGTAGGGTTGAGTGTGGTTTTTCTACAGGAAACAACGTTTCAGAGTTCTCTGTCAGCCACTTTAACACAGGGCATCCTCCAACCTTTGTTTCCGCCCAAATACAATAAATTCTGGAGAAATCACCTCTCACCTTCTTGTCTTTAATCAACCAGGTTTCCAGCACTTCCTTGACCTATCTGTCATAGACTTTGTTTCTAAAAGGAAAACATTTTAACATTCCCCATTTCATCCTTTTTCATTACAACATTTAGATGGGCCAAGGCCACAGCTAGACGAGGACAGTGTCTAAGTTAACTACTCATTTGTTTCTTTCTATTACCCAGAGAATATTTAGAGCTGCCTTGGAATGGACCTGAAGTTGAGCCGACTTTTTAAAGACTGACAATGGTCTTGAACCACCTAACACACCGCTGCTTCATCGTTAATGTTTCCTGTGAAGATTAGGCCTCACACTTACCTCTTCAAAAGTTTTGCCTAGGTGTAAATTTCAAGAGTTCGGTTCTTCACGTCATTAAACGTGGCCTATTTATTAGTTACAGCTTACTGTTTTGTCAAGAGAGATTCTGTAGTCCAGCAGAAATAAATGCTCAACAGGTCCACTTCCAGACGGACCCAGGAGTGAAGGCTCTCCCACTCTGCATGCCATGCCTCACCCACTAAGCCAGCACGGCCAACTCGGGGTCAAATGCTTCCTCTCCACGAGGCACCAGGCCCTGACGGTCCCTGAAGTCTGCATTAGTCCACTACTGCCCTAAGACTGAATGACGACCAGGCCTCTGCTGCTCTGTTTATCATAGCATCAACTCTGTCCAACCTCCAAGAGTCAAAGCGAGCAGATACACGATTCTTTTACTGCTAGCTCTTCTACTTATCTTCCCATTTTCATTAATCAACTTGCCGATGACAGCTGCCAATTCTTCAAAAATCCTTCAGATTCGACGCGATTCCCAAAGCCTTGCTTCCGCTAAATGCTGTCCTTTAAAAAGTCACACTAGAGCTGCCTTTGTAACCCACCTCTTACTCCACACCTCTGAGTTCAGACTCTCCCGAGTCACAACATGTCTGCAATCAGGGCAACAGGGTGAAAAAATACCCAAGCCTTCAACACACATACCATGGCTGTAGCACAACTTCAGGAGATTTATACACACTGTTCACACTTCTCGACACATAATGAGGGCTAAATAAATACACAGGGCTGAGGTCCACTGCTGCCTGTCCCACAGTAACTGAGCACTTAGCTTCCAACCAATTACAACACGTGACTGAACGGACATTCACTTCACATTTACAAACAACTATCCTGTCTATGGTTCATTTTTCTTGTAAGAACTCTGCACAAAGCCGGGCGGTGGTGGTGCATGCCTTTAATCTCAGCACTCGGGAGGCAGAGCCAGGCGGATCTCTGTGAGTTCGAGGCCAGCCTGGGCTACAGAGCGAGATCCAGGACAGGCATCAAAACTACACAGAGAAACCCTGTCTCGAAAAACCAAAAAAAAAAAAAAAGAACTCTGCACAAAATACTGGAAATCTTGACTGTCTACCCAGCACATTTCTGAATTGGTTGTATTTATTTCAATCAATATTGCTTCTTTCTGTAGTAAGATATTCAGTATAGAAATTAAACACAGATCATTAGTATCCAAAACACTTTACATTTTGTGTCTTTAGTCTGAGGAAAAAGTTATTATTAATAGCCTCAAATATACAGAAAAATATTAATATACATACCCATTAATAATATTAAGATTTTTCTCCTTTGGCCACAAAAATCAAGTTGAATTACTCTTAAATTTACAGTAGAAAAAAAGGTTGTATTTCTTAAGATGGAGAAAAAGAAAATAAAATTTACAAACACGTGTGATAAGTAGTCCATTTTAAAACACGTGTAAGTGAGTGAATATTGAACACACTGTATCAAGAATCCTCAGTGCTGCCGGGGGTGGTGCGCTGGCCTCTAACCCCAGCACTTGGGAGGCAGAGGCAGGCAGCTCTCTCTGAGTTCCAGGCCAGCCGGGGCTGTTACACAGAGAAACCCTGTCTTGGAAGTCCCCCTTCCTCTGAAAAAAAAAAAAAAATCCTCAGTGCCGGCAGGACTGCAAATTATGTACTGAGAGAATCACAGTACATAATCGCCCCAGAGAAGGGCAGAGAAAGACCAAAGCCAGTGCAGCGTTGTAGGGCTGGCCAGTAAGTTTGGGGGTTTAGAATGCACATCCCAGCAGGAAACGGGATGGGAGAAAAAAACAGAATGAGTGGTGTAAAGGATTCCCACAGCTCCCGAGGAGAAAGATACTGTACAGGATGGATGTGACAGGACGGTGACGTCAGAGGGATGAGCTCGGGTGAGCTGGCGGCAGGTCAGGATGGAGCAGCATCAGTGGGAGTCAGAAGATGATGCGTCAGGAGATGGAGGAGGAGCCCCCGCGGCAGTTGGTTTAAATTGTCAGTCTTCACTAAGGAGCTTTACTGGCGAGAAAAGAGTCGAAACCAGACTGGAGAGGTTCGGTTTGTAAAGCATGAATCCACCACAGGTGCTCACTATTCAGAATTTGAGTTCAGAAGGCGTCAGAAATGCGTTTAGGTTGGTAAGAAAGACTCCTTGTCACCGTCCTGTGAAATACATAGTAACCCAATGCAGTTTCATTGCCGCTAACTAAACTCAGTACAGGCCAGCCACGGGTGTTCATGACCCACTTAAGACTCAAAAGGGCGCTTCTAGAACCTCTCAGAAATACAAGACTGAGTCCATGTGAGCTGGCCCCCACACAAAAAGGCCGAGGGCGCGGCACAAAGAAAAAGGAAAGGGAGGACAGAGAGAAAGAAGTGGCCAGCCTGAGCCTCCCCGGGGCAGAATGGAAAAGGCAGCTTGTTGTCCACTGCCGGCAGACCTCAGCGGTCTCACTATTGCGGGCGGCTGAACAGCGTCTATCTGTTTCAACAAACAAGTTCCACTTACGCTAATGAGGAACAGTTTCTACTCCTGCAACAATCCTGATCTTTCTCCAACAGGGACAGCACGAAGGTTGCTTTTCGTTTTTTGGTTAATAATAAAAAACACACCCTGGGGAATACTTCCACTTCAAATCCTTGTTTGCATTCCTAATTATTTCCTTAGAATATTTTTATGTAAAATTAAAGGATAAAGATGTTAACATTTTTGACCAATTATTTCTCCCTAAATGAAACTGTACGTTACCAATTCACCAGACTCAGTACGCTAGTGTGGGAAAATTGAATATTCAGACAGGTGATGCTGTCTTTGACATGTGTGACTCCATGGCAAAGGACTGTTTATGTTGTTGTCGGTTCAAATCAAACACCTTTTACGTTTACCAGAAAGACTACATCTCTTTTAAAAAAAAACAACTCTTTTTATAATTTCTCAAATGACTGTATCTGCCAATATTTATCTTAAAACTTTAGCTGGGAAATTAATTTTAACTTCTCTCCTATTTTTAAAGAGTTGCTTGTTTATCGTGTGTGTGTGTGTGTGTGTGTGTGTGTGTGTGTGTGTGTGTGTACACACATGCCTGCTTATCTATTTGTACACCTTGTACACGTGTATGCCTACGAAGGCCGGAAGAGGACATCAGCTGCCCCGAGAACTGGTCGTACAGGTGGTTGTGAGCCACCCAGTGTGGGTGCTGGGAACCTACCCTGGTCCCCTGCAAGAAATGCAAGTGCTCTTATCCACAGTCATCTCCCCAGCTCTCCTCCCCTTTTAAATAACCTGAAAGCACAGCATGGCCCCTAAAACCCGTACTGTAAATTTACCACTACACCAACCACTACCATCGAGCCTTAGGACATTCATGAGCCTGTGTGCATGCAGTCCGTGCTCCTACCAGAGACCTGCTGCTGGGCACTTCATATAAATGGGATCATACAACAGGCGGTATTTCCTGTGTAGCTCATCTCACTTACTGTAACGTCCTTGAGGTTAATTCATGCATTTTTCCTCTCGATATACTATCCTACTGTACATACAGAGTACATCTGGTTTATCTACTCACCAGTTAACGGACATCTCAAAGACTGTGTCCAGTTTGGGGAGATTATGACTAAATACTACTGTGAACATTCATACACAACATTCTTTGTGTGGATGTATTTTCATTTCTAACAGGCAGATACCTACAAGTGGAATTACTGGGTCATGTGGTAAGTTTACATTTAACTTTTTAAGAAACTGTCAAATTATTTTCCAAAGAGGCTATAGTACTTTACATTCCCACATCCTGATTTTTAATATGTCCAATGGCCAGTCGCAATGAACCCATTTAAAACTCAAGTTCTCTGAATAGTAAACTTATAATCATCCTTGAAATAGTACAGCTTTCTGCTTCGAATAATGGAAATCTTCAATGGTTCAAAAGGCTCTAACATAATAACACATAACTTCCACAAACTGCATACCACAAAAACCTTTCTTCATCCTCCACCTGATATAGGAAAAGATAGCTAAAAATACCAATTTCTTTAACTCCCTCTTATAAATATACTCAGGGTCTTGGAACAATAAGAAAAATACTTACAAACTGTTTTAGTTAGAAAAATTCAGCAAAACAGAGAAACTGGTTATCTCTTATATGACAATAACTTGGGCCAGTCTGGTTCTGGAGACCAGGCTGGCCTCAAACTCACAGAGATCCACCTGCCTCTGCCTCCCGAGTGCTGGGATTAAAGGCGTGTGCCACCACTGCCCGGCTTCTTTTGCTTTTTCAAGGCAGGGTTTCTCTGGCTGTCCCAGAACTTGCTCTGTAGACCAGGCTGGCCTCAAACTTACAGAGATCTCCCTGTCTCTGCCTCCCACGTGCTGGGAATTAAAGGCGTGCGCCACCACCGCCTGGCTTCGATGCACTTCTTATTTTTCAGGCATTAACAGTAATATACACTTTATGTAAAACTTATACAGAAAGACAAAAAAAAATTAGAACCGAGAAACAATCTGGAAAAAGAATGAAATTGGAGGAATCACTCTGAATTTTGCAAAACAAAACAAAACAAACAAAACCACTTCAATGGTATAATTTTTCTTTTAACCACTCAATTTTAAGCTACAGTATAAACTCACTGATGGTATAATAATAAAGTAGGAAGAGTCCAGAAATAGACCCATACAAATATAGTCAATCATTTTTAACACAGGTTAAAATATTAAAAACAATAAAATGGGGGAAAGAGAGTCAAAAGTATTAAAACAATAAGGCACCTACAGACCTAAAAACAGAAACAAGAAAAAAATGTATGCCGACTACAGGAATCTCTCTCCAAACTCTACAGTGGACGTTGGCTACAGCACACACACTGGAGGAGTTAGTTATTACTCTCATACAGGACTTAGCACAGCTCCTGTTGAAGTCTGGAATACAGGCACCATATCTGCAGAATTAGGAGGCATCATAAAAGGACTTTTCCATGGAGATTTGGAAACTGGTCAACTCTTAAGACATTTTAGAGCTTTGAGGACTCCTGACCTGTAGTCAGAAGCATGATCTTTACAGGATCATTAGAAAATACCCAACCCCCCAATCCCAAAATTACATTTCCTGCCAGGCATAAAGGCACATGACTAATGCCAGCATTCTGAGGGTGAGGATTGGGAATTAATGTCAGCTTGGGGTATATAACGAGTTCCTGGGCTACCTCAGCTACAGGTGAGACCCTGTCTCGGTAAAAAACAAGAGAATCATTACCCCCCAGGTAATGCTCAATCAAGCTTAGCGTCCCAGGCCAAAAAGATGGGTGAAAACGGTTTGAATTCATCCTTGCAGGTGCCAATCTGTGCCTACCCAACCCACAAAACTGGGTTTCTGGCAAAATGGCACTGGCACTTACCTGGGGGGTTGGAAAGTCAAATCAAGAAAATAATAGCTTTCCAACATATCTTTCCACATATCAAAAATAGCTAATTGCATTTTAATTGTTAACTTCATTTTTATCTTATATACTTTTATTTATTATACGGGCTAAGCTATTACTTATCTTCTAATTTAAAAATGTAACTTAGAGCTGGGCGGTGGTGGCGCACGCCTTTAATCCCAGCACTCGGGAGGCAGAGGCAGGCGGATCTCTGTGAGTTCGAGGCCAGCCTGGTCTACAGAGTGAGATCCAGGAAATGCGAAAAGGTACACAGAGAAACCCTGTCTCAAAAAACCAAAAAAGAAAAAAAATATATAAGTATTGATCTATATTAAGTGTAATTCTGTATGTATACATAGATCTTATAACTACAATAAAACAGATTTTAAATTGGCTTTTATTTTCCTTGAGAATCTCATACAATATATTTTCGTCTTATTCTTTCTTCTCTCTCAACTCCTCCCAGATCCTCTCCCACCTTGCTACCTACCCAACTGCATAGTCTTTCTCTTTGAAAAAAAAAAAATGGAGTCCAATTTGTGTTGGCTGATTACTCCACTTCTGAGCATGGGGCCTGCCCTGGGGGTAGTTGATATAATCAATGGAAGATGACTGGTTTCTCCTCTCCCAGCGTCTGGAATTGTGAACGGCTCAATGGCTAGACGTGGGACTTCCTGGGATCTGGCTTGAGCTCATGCAGGTCTTGTGTGTGCTGTCACAGTCTCTGTGAGTTCCTAGCATGTATCAGTCCTGTTATATCTGGGGAACACTTTCCCTGAAATAATCTCCTACCACCTCTTCTTCCACATAGATCCCTGACCTTGAGGGTCTTCTATTAATTTTCAACAACCAGACTCACATTCATCATAATTTGTAACTGATGAA